GGATTTTCAAATCAAATGAATTCCAACCAAAAATTAAACTGAATGATTTTCCTAAACCTATATGTGGTTTTTCATCTCTGCAAAATGCTAAAAGCATAGTACTGTAATTAAGTCCATCTCGAACTTGATACATATCATATAATAACCATTTAGCATCATTGTGTTGATTTGAATCATTTTCAAACCATAATTTTGTGGTTTCATAACTTTCTATTGTTATTGTCTCATTTCCAATATCATAATCTTGGAATAATTTTCGATAAAACAATAATTGTTCAATTGTTGGATAAGGAAGTTCCATACATTGCACTACAAGGTCTCTCCAATCTAAAGTTGTTATATTACTACCAAATAGTTCTTTATAAAAATGATTGTAAAATTTACTATCTATTGACCATTTTTTTGGATATATATCTTTTATTTTACACAGTTTATTCAATGTATCAATAAAACTGCCAATTTCTATTTTGAATGTAGGGGCATAATCTAAAAGTTCATATACAATAGGTCTAAATTGTTCCGTATTAAATTGATTCTTCGAATGAAATACTTGTCTGCAATTTATTTCAAAAACACTTAACTTATTTATGAAAAATTGTCCAGAAATGTGTTTGATACAGACATCAATATATTTTCCTACACAATTTAATAATTCACATAATTTATTTATATCGTTTATCTTAAATTGGTGTATAATATGTATTTTTTCTAAATGATGATCTATACTTGTTAAATCTTTAAAATATTTTATATCTAGAAGTAGACTAGCTTTAAGTCTATATATTTGATTTATAAGTCTGTTAGTTTCTGTTTGTACGCTTATAGTCCATTGATCTATTTCATCTACTATTTCATAATTATCACGCACATATTTTTTAAATTTGCTTATTGTGTCTAAGCAATGCATTTGGAATTTGTCAATATCATCATTGTTATTGATGATGACTGCATAAAATTCAAATTCATTGATTTTTGTTTCATTAATATCAACATAATATCTATTTAAGAAGTTTAAAGTAGTAATTGTACGCTTCACCTCAGTTTCCAATAATTGATTAAATGCACTTATTAATGTATTATTCTTAAGGACCCACTGTTCATAAATCATATTATTAATAAATAGTGTTAATTGTTCTAACTCACTATCTACTTCATCCCACAAATTGGTTTGTAGTTCAAAAATATAGTCTTTTAAGTTGTTATTGGTGTCTGATAATAGATTTTGAATTTTGTTTTCATATTTATTTATAAGATCTAATATCTTACAGTTCTGAGATATTATTATTTGATTAATTGACATTATGTTTAAATCCTTGTTTATTCTCACTTCTTTGAAAAACTTATCCTTATTGTTTAACAATTCTTTAATTTTGTGTATATAGTTATGTTCCATAGTCYTCCACATATCACATAAATATAATGCTGTAAATGTATAATTGGTTAAATTACCTTCATGCCTTCCCAAATCTGTGCTTAATATTTGAAATTTATTGGAAATTTCATAAGTTTTTATTGTTTCAGTTTTATCACCAGATGTTAAAGAAGGTGGTGTACTAATTTGTTTATCATCATTTTCAGATTTGATGCTATCATCGTCATAATTATTATAAATATTTATAGGTTTAAAAAATATACTTGGGGACTTAACATTTTCTTCATTTAAAATCAACCCAACTAAGATATCTGCAGCTTTTTTWGGCTCTTTTATTATACTATCTAAATTGATTATTTGTATTTGAATACTATTTTGTTGGTTATAAAATTGTAAGAAATCATTCATTTTTTCACTATACATTTCATCTATGTGGTTTATAATTTTAATACAATTTGTCAAATAAGTATTTGTAACAGTGTATATGTTTTCATTATCTTGATACTCAGGAACTATACTAGACTTTTTCTTAGATTTTTCACATATTTCTTTTCCAAAATAGGGCATTTTACCAGTCAACATAAATTCAAGTAAAGCCATTTGTAGAGGCTGAACAGGAAATTGTAAAAGTATCCAGCCATTTATTCCTTTATTTATTTTTATGTATTCTCCTATGCAATTTATTTGATCTCCAATTTGTAAATCATGATTTTTTCTTTGTTTTTCATCAATTATTTTTCCTAAATTGGCCATTGAACTTAAAACAGGATTGTTATAATCAGGTTCTGGAATAATTTCTGGCGTTTGAACAAGTTTATTTTTAAGTTTTTTATTTGTTGTATAAATGGATTCTGCACTGCTGTTTGATCCACTTGTAATTGTTGTAATTGTATTTGACATACTATTTATTGAGTCATTCACTGTTCTTTTTTTAACTTCTAAAAAATTTTTAAGATGAATATTAATGTTATTTAATTATTTATTATAAATGGTGACTATAAATATGTAATTTTTTTAGAGGTTATCTAGATCTGTAAACCCTATTTTTTTTTTTCGTTCATATGGGAATGGCTTGTACTTGTGTAAGTAGTGAATCCAGTAGTAAATTATCATTTGTATATCATGTATACCTACTATTTAACTATAACTTTAAAACATACATCAGAGAGTATGCACATGTATTTTGAGGATTAGATAAAAATATTCAACTCAATTTTTTGAATTCCTGAGCAAGTTGACTTCGATCAATTGGCATACTTTACTATGTTTCTTATTTTAGTGAATTGTTTCAAAAATAAAATRTTTGAAATTATTTTAATGTTTGTCAGTTTTCAAAAATAAAAAAAACCCTAAAACTATTTCCATTTGAAAACTTATGTTTTTCTATCTAAATTAATTTTATTCACCAGTTCAAGCATTTTAGTTTTAATTTTAATTTTTTTTTAATTTAAACCACAAAAACGAGCAGATAACGCATTATAATTTTTTGCTGATATATGATGGACATGGTGATTTTGTGTCTTTTCTTAATACACATAGAACATAGGAATTTAGGCATGTTTTCATTWCTTTGTACTAATTAATATACTGAAGGGAATTCTAAAAGTAAATTTGAATTTCTTATTATCATATCTATTATCTGCTTGCAATCAACTTTTTCACATTTTTGATTTTATCCCCCAATATCCTAAAAAATGTTCTACTAAAACAGAAAACTGAATATTTAAATTTAAGTTAAAATTTAATAATTATAAATCTGGGAATGTTGATTTAAGTAGATTCAATGAAAAATTCAAATCTGTTTTAAGGATTCTTATCGTTTCACCAAATGAATCAGTATGTTGAAATGAAAACACACCTTGATTACTATGTTCCATGTGTATTAGACAAAGACAAAAATTACTGGTTCTAATCGCTTTATTACTATTTTGATGTGTTTAAAAATGTATAAAATATATTTATTATTTATTATTTATGCAATATATTTAGAAATATTAAAAACGCTTTCAGTGATTTCTCCAGCTTTTTTAAATAAGTAAGGTAGGTACCTATTTATATAGATAAAAATGAATTTGTTTTTTAAAAATATTCACTACTTTTACAAACAGAATTTTTTTATAGTTTCTTACTTTCACTATTTTCTGTTATAATACTTTCATTTTCTGAGGGATTTTCATAGTCTTCCACAACWTGGTATAGTTTACTTTTATTTATTGAAATCTTCATTTCTTCATTATATGCATTAAGACATGCYGATAATGCATCTTCAGTAGTAAAACCCAATATTCCTTTATTTCGTAAGTTGTCTTTTATTAATTTTACCACTTTTGCATTATGTATTACATCAACAACTCCAGCTACATTTGAGTTTTTTATTTCAATACATTTTATTTCACTTATGCCATATTCAAAATTCAAAACTTCTTTTATTATCATGGAKAGAATATTTTGTTTGGATTTAAATGAAACTACATTCAAATATTCAGAAGACCAAGATCCAGTGTGTTGTAAATATTCATTAAAAGTATCTTGTTTCACAAAATGTTCATTCTTAAATTCATCTAATCCTTGAGTAACTATAGATTCTTCTATTTTCAAACTGTTAATTGTTGAGCTCTCGTTWTGTATGTCCTCTTGAGATATTAAGTCAATATTTTGAATGTTATTTTCATTATCTAATTTTGTGACTTTTAAGTTATTATTATCAGTTTTTATGTTATTTGCTTCTTCTATATTAAGAATATTAAGTAGCATACTCCTACATAATGTTTTATTAGATTTTTCCAAAGTTTTTTCTATGAATTTATATTTTTTATTATTTAAACTCATAATAAATAAATCATAAATACTTTTCATATGATGTTCTAACATCTTTAAACCATTGCTTTTACATGTATCAATAAAATTTTTGGAYTTAAAAACATCAATAGCAGTGTATGAAACACCGTCTAAATTAGAAAATAATTTAGAGACATAGCAACATTTTTTATAGTWTGCATTTGGTCTTAATGTATTTTTTATTTCTTTCTGATGTGACAAAAAACTACCATTACTTTTACATTTATTTACCACAATATTATTATTTAATTTTTGATTTTCTTTAATATTGTTATTACTTAATGTTTGGTATTCTTTTGACATTTCCARCTTAAAGTATAATTTGTATAAAAGTTTTGTGACTGCAAGTGATTGGCCATGAGCGATTTCACATATAGTGCTATCTTCAATAATAATTTCCATAAATTGTAGCCACAAATTAATATTTTTCATATTGCTCAAACATATATCATTATGATTAGTTTTTTTAAATAAATGTGTATACTTTTCAGGCATTATTTGGTATTTCTGTAATAAAAGTGCGAACAGAAACCCATCTTTGAACCTCTCACCTACGTTATTTAAGTCTAAATTCTGACAATAATGTGTTCCAAGCTTACATGTTAGCCATTCTTGTAATGTGTTAAACATTTTGTTAAACAATTTCACAAATATTATTATTCTTAGTAAAAATATTTTGTATTTAGGAAATTATAAACCAATGCACTTTGTTATTATTTGTCTAATATATTGCATATTTAAAAACAACTCATGATCACTATAGTAATCATTGTTTTCTAATATATTACAGAGGACCATTTAGTTTGGTTAAAAGATGTGTTCATCGTCAAACTGGACAACAATTTGCTGTTAAAATTGTTGATGTTGCAAGTTTCACATCAAGTCCTGGTTTAAGCACATCAGGTATTTAATCTTTAATATATTATTAAATAAATTATACCTATTGATAAGAAAAATGTATTTTGATCACAGATTTAAAACGAGAAGCAACAATATGCCACATGCTAAAACATCCTCATATTGTGGAACTACTGGAAACATATAGCTCCGAAGGAATGCTTTATATGGTGTTTGAGTAGTAAGCTTTTAATACATATTCTTTTTAGTTATATCAGTTTGGTCAGTATTCTTATTTATTAATTTATATTTAAGAATACTTATAATATAGGGGATCAAATWAAAAATGCATTTTATTAGAAAAGGTGTTCATTATTTGTAAGTCCTATTAGAACTGTTCTAATATCAAGTAGGATTATTTTAACATGCATATTTAATTTAAAGTTTAAATATTTTTAGGTAATGGATATTAGGTACTTAATTTGTTTATAAGTATTACTGTACATATAAAYTAATTAGTGTAGTTTTTAACTGCAATTTTATTAATTTTCAGTATGGATGGATCAGACATATGTTTTGAAATTGTCCGTAGAGCTACAGCTGGTTTTGTTTACAGTGAAGCAGTAGCAAGGTAATACATTTTGACTAAGCACATTAAATATGTATAATATCTTTGGTCAATTGAATTGATATTAATAATTTTGTAGTCATTATATGAGGCAAACACTTGAAGCAATCAGATATTGTCATGAGAATGACATTATTCATAGGGACATTAAGCCTCATTGTGTCCTATTAGCCACAAAAGAGAATTCAGCTCCAGTTAAACTTGGAGGATTTGGTGTGGCAATACAGTTGCATGATGGGAGCTCTATTAATGGAGGTATTCATAACCTCATAACACATTAAAGATAGACTGTTATTGTTTTTGTTTTTTTTTTGTTTTTGTTTTGTTTTTTTTTTTATTTTGTTTTTATTTTTTTAAGCAAAAAGTTTTGATGATTTGTCCCGACCTAATTTGAGTGCTAACGGCCAAGTTTATTTACAATCAGACAGACAGGGTAAGAGCACTTAAATAGGTTACAAATTGTTACAATGTTGGTGTTGGTACTTCATATTTTTTTATTTTATATTTAATATTAAAATCATTTATTATTTTGCTGTTGTTATGGAATCAAAAATATTTCTTTATGATAATATTTAAAAAATAATCATTTTAGAACTTAGCAATTTMAAAAGTAAATTTCTGTTCATGATTTAAAGCAATATATTATACCATGTTATACTTCTTTATTGATAATTTATGAATCAATAATATTAAAATCACAAAAGTAATATCACTGATATACATTCAATTTTTAGTTTGAACATTTAAATAATAAATAATAATTCAATTTTCAAAGTTTTATTTAGCAATTAGAGTACTTTATAACAAGCAGTATAAAGAATGACATGATCAAAAATCTTAATTAGTCACCGACTGTTTAAGTAATGTTTACTTTTGACGAGTGTATACTCTGACAACAAGATAGTTTCATTAGTTATCAATTGATCATTGATAATAGTTCTTCGGTTAATAATTTTTTGTTTGTATGGTTTCTCAAATAAAATTTTATATTATTTAGTATTTATATTTTTTTAAAGTATGTAAGATTTTCAAGAAATTTCATTTTACTATGTAAAATTTTGCACCTTCATGTTTTTAGCACACATCCTTATGCTCTATGATAATTTACTGGATTTGGAAAAATTGGAAGTTGCTGAGTATCAAAATGGTATTAATATGAATTAATTTTCAAAAATTAATTAGTTGGTTGTTGAACTATTTTTTTGAATTTCTAGGCACTCAATAAATTTAATTTGCATTTAGATATTTGAATGTTATGTTGGAACTTAGAAAATTAGTATTATTTTATTTTTATAAATTATTGTTTTATTTTTTATTTTTTATTATTAATTATTAATTATTGTATATCTTTATAATATTATTTAAATTAGGGATGGGCTGATACTAAAACCCATACCAGATATTAGCCAATATCGATGGTATCRGTTTTTTTTGTAACTGATACCTAAAATCAAACCTATCGAACTGCATAGTATATTAAAACACTAAATGTTACCAGCATTAAATAATCATTTATTTCCATTAATTATTAGTATTGGCTTCATTATAATATATCGGTTGATGGTAGCGGTATTATAATGATATTGGCTCATGCTTTTTTGCCAAAAATGTTGTTTTAATATTACCATATATACTATCAGGTATCAGTTTCAGTTTTATATCAATAGCATATATCAGAGTATCAGATATTGGTAAAAAGTGGTWTTGGCTCATCCTTAATTTAAATATCTTAAAAATTAATTGACATTTTTATTAGATAATTATAACAGTGGCGCAACTAGGATCTATTTTTGGTAAAGATTATACATATAAAAAAAAATGTCTTTACTTTGAAATATTTAACTTTTAAAAACATTTCGGGTGGGGTCACAACCCCCAACCCACCCCTGGTTGTGCCATTGAATTATAATATTATATATTGTCAGGTATGAATTAATGCTTGATAAAATAGATATAATTATATAATCTTAGTGTTTTTTATAAATATTTAAGCAATTAATAATTATGATAACATTAACAAAGAGCAGGGTTTGAAATATTTTGGTGCTAAATGTATATATTTTTAGAAATTATTAAAAAATATTGTGAAATGCCTTTAATGATAATTGATTTATCCGAAGACAATATCTAATTTATTTTTATTTTTATTATAAGCAAAATATTGTTTATTACTACTACTCTAAATWACTTGTCAACCATTTAATATTTTATGATACAATTTAATCAAAAATGTTTTGTCTAGTCTCTTTTTGAAGTTTTAAAAACAATAATTAATGACTTTAATTAGATAGATTGTATAGTTGAAGAAAGTGGCAGATAAGATCTATATTATAGAACCTTTATTAGATATGATATATTTTAATTCTAAGATTTAGAAATTTAGAGATTTTGGTATGACAATTGTTAATTTTTAAATTTGTTTTATGTATTCTTAAAATTATTAAACTTTACGTTTAATAATATTTTAGAATAAATCTTTTGTATATATTATATATGTATAGCTTAGTTGACAATATTATACTAATATTTAATACATATTGTATGCTAAATTATTTCAATTCCAAACAAATTGAGTTAACTTATTATATTATCTGATATTAAGTAATAGGAAAAGGAAATGTGTTAGGACTCTAGATTAGGTATCTCTAATAATGATGTTACTTCTAATGTTAATATAGATTTATGTTTTTTTCTTATAAATTTCTTATTTCTTATATTGATTTATTCTATCTCCTAAATAGTATTGATACCAAATTGTTTATTCTTGCATAATTCATTCTCCTAGAATTATGTTATCAGATATTACATTATTAACATATACTTTAGGTACTAAATAAATATAAAATTTATACTATATTGTGTTAAATTATTGATACAATGATCTATGGTTTATGCTCAAAATGMTTAGGATTTAAAATTCAGTTTTAAAAGTGTTGGAAAATATATTAATTATTTATGTTAATTAAATAATTATTAATACTCTTTAATAAATCAATTTTAAAAGTTGTGCTACGTTMAACATTAGAGTGAATTCATTTATGATTAAAATTAAAAACATTGCCGAGTCCCAATATTAGATTTTTTACGATATTTTAATTTTTACAAAATTTATAAGTATTTTTAAATTGTAATATCTTACAAGCTCATAAATTACGTAAAAGTTAAAACAACAAATAAAGATACTGATTATGTTCTTAATTTAAAATTTAGTAATAAGTGTATTCTTTCTAATACCAAAATTAACATCACAGGGTTAGTGCTGCTGAATGTAAATTTGATAAATTGCACGGGTGCTGGAGAGAGAAAACAAATAGTGCTTTGATATCCTTTTGGTATAATATTGAAGAGAATGTAAGCGCACTATTTGTTTTCTCTGTCTGACCCATGCACAACATTGACTAGAGGCATTTACGCAGAATCATTTTTCTATGTTTTTAAGTAAGCTTAGGCTAAAATAACCCATCAAAAAAAAGATAGAAAGTAATATTTTTGAGGGAATAGCATATCAATTTGTTTAATATTGTCTCAAAACGATTTAAACATCATTTAAATTAAAAGAATTTTTTTGTTTATTTTTGAAAGTTGAATACAAAATCAATTAACAATAAAATATAATATTGATATATGTCATCCCTTCAAAAATATTATTCTCCATCATTTTTGTAATGGGTGACTATATTATATTCTAATATTACTTAAAAACAGAAAAATTTATTCTGCGTAAATGCGTTTTGTCTATGTTGAGTGTGGACTAAAGAGAGAAAACAAATAGTGTGCTGACATTCTCTTAATCCAATAATTTCCTAATGATAATATTTCACATTAAATAATATATCTTATAAAATATTGAATGAGCAAAAGAACATATCATTAATTTTAAAATATACTTCAAATTCAAACAGTAAGTTGCTATTGTGATATTGTAGACTGTAGACTGAAGAATGCGGATTTACTGTATGTTACATAAKTAAAAAAAAAACAAATCTACTATCAAGGCTCTTTATGACATTCAATCTTAATTTAATAAATATTAACTTACCACTTAGTTTTCAATAGTGTATACAATMATACTGTATTAATTATTGTTATTATGTTATAAAGGTCGTATAGGAACTCCTCATTTTATGGCTCCAGAAGTTGTGGAACGACAACAATATGGTAAACCTGGAGATGTWTGGTCGGCCGGAGTTATATTGCATATACTATTATCTGGACTAACACCATTCCTAGGTACTGGGGATCGACTTTACCATAATATATGTGATGCTAGGTTGAATGTATGTAATTTATTTATTATTGATAAGTGATGACTTAAATATGATTCATTGCAATTTTCATCTATTTTTAAAGTTTAATAGACCACAATGGGAACATATTAGTGAAGGAGCTAAAGATCTTGTTTGTAAGATGCTATGTTTAGATCCTAAAAAACGTTTGACCATTCAGGAAGTTTTAAATCACAGATGGCTAAGGGTATGTGTTTCATATATTTATTAAATTTTTTGTTTAAAAATATTATAATGACTTATTAATTTTATATTAGGAAAGAGATAAGAATGCGTCCAAAGTTCATTTGGTAGATACAGTGGAACAATTGAAAATATATAATAGTCGTAGACGTTTACGTGGTGCTGTAATGGCAGCAGTGTCATCACCACGCTGGACTTACCAGTCTTCTCTAGATTCAAACTCCAATGCTATTGAACAGTTTTCTGATTTTGGCGATGATGATATTAGTAATTCGGGTGAATATGTTTTTCAAACAAATTTTTACATTTTTGTGAAGCTAGTAGAACTCATATTGTTTATAATTTATTTTATATTTCTTATTAAGCTGTTGGTGTTATTCTGAGTTCATTGGATGACATTCAATGTATACAGGAAGCACTTCCTGATACTCCACAAACAGTTTTACCATTACTAGATGATGAACAATTGTGCAAACTACTGGAGGTTTGTATTTTTATAATTAATTCAATTTATGTTTTTTTTTTAAATTTATAAATAATCTATATATATATATAATATAAATGGATTTCTGTCCGTCTCCTATTGCAACAAAATTTGATACATAGATATATTAGGTCTATGGGCAGAAGATAGGCTAAGTTAAAAAGTGATAGCCCCAAATATCATTCAATCAAATATTTGAATCGTTAGACTGTTCTCGATAAACGAATAAAATTACATAATGATAAACTAAATTGAATATCATTGTAAGATTATTACTTAGTATATTTTAACTGTTATATATCTATATGTATAAAAGTATAATGTTTGCAAAATCACAGAAAACAAATTTAACACACATTTTGAGACATGTAAGAGGTAGGATTCTTAACAGACTACAAAGTGCACGGATTCAGCTAATATTTACTAAATTTAAATAAAGTACAACTTATACTAAAATTTAAAATTTAAAAATTATAATATTAAAGTTTTAGTTAATTCTAATRAACAATGATCACAGTAATTAAATATAAAATTATGTTCTTTTTTTTAGCTGTACCATTTCATAAATTCTAGCCGAACTGATTCTGAAAAGAAACCACCTTTACCTATTTCTGAAGACTTAATTAGCTTAGTTCATGATGTCTTGGATATACTAACCACTTTACCAAATCACTCGCAGACTGCTTATGATGGTGTCCAGCTTAGAGATATATTAACTAGGCCATTTTTAAAGGTAAGGATATTGTGAACTTTAATAATAAATAGACTAGAATACCTACTCAGTTGGTATTACAATTAAAAGTTACAACATATTATCATGCTACTAATATAAATTTTTAATTTAATAATTGGCCTTTTTATTATTGAAAAGTTTAACTGATTACAAATGTTATATTCTTTTGAGACATACATTAGTATCATAGATACATTGAAAATATTTATACAATTTAATATACTATGACAACAATTTTAATTAAATTACGATAAGAATAGGTTACATAGCTTATGAGAAATTTATATACAAGATGCAATTTTATCTGTCAAATATTTTAAAAATTATGTATTAAGTGTCATATTTGAACTTGATTAGTAAATTTAGTTAGATTGTGTTGTGACAATTGTTTTAAATTCACTGATTGATTTAGTTCATACTGTAAAGTACTTATTACATTTAGTAATCAACTTAAGATTTTGGGTAAAATATATAATATTTTTATAAAATATATAAAATATATGCTCCTACCACTTACAAGGTGATTAACCAAGTATGCTCGCCTCAGTTTTTTCATTTAATAAACTTACTCAATTTCTAGATCATAATATTTTCGGATTTTTTAGATTTTTTGTGTTACTTGAGGAGTGTCCTATGGAGATAAAACTTTTGTATTTATAATGAGAACTCTCTCCTCCGTTTTAGACTGTAAATTATTTGGTGGATAATTTTTCTGAAACTTTTGATGTATTAAAATAACAATAAAAATTTGAATGAATAGTTTTTGAGTGATTTAATTTTATATAGGTACCAACTACTAAGGATAATGGGTGTATTCTATGTGTTGTAATTAAAAACCTATCTAAAATAGATGTTTTTCATAGAAATGGAGATATTTTCAATTTTTTTTTTCTTGATTTCAGTGTCATGATAGATATACTGTAATAATATGCGATTTTCATATTACTTGTTTTGTTTGTGAYTTATTTTTTAGTTGAAATTTAAAATTTAAGATAAACATATATATATTTATATAAAAAAATTAATAATAATATCACATTATATTTTAAATGTGGTTATATTTGAAAACAATGTACAATAATATTATCAGTAAATCTAAATGCTAGTCCATACTAAAGTGTTTTCATTAAATATAAAATCTACGAGTGTCAAGCTTAATGAGTCATGTAATATATAACATAGGCACCTAAATAAAAAATAAAGCATCACATTACATTATTATTTTATTGTTAGTAGGTAAGGAAAAAAATCCATTTCGACCCATCTCTTTCATGAATATAAAGATATTTGTTAGCCAAATTTATTTATTTTAAACAAAAAACTGAAGAACTGACAATATTTTAATTACCTATACACACGATAAAATAACTTTTAAAATGCATAAATATAATTAGAAATATTTTAAGTTTAAAAGTTTGGGAGTTCTACAAACTAGAATTAAAATGATTAATATTAAAGTTTCGACCAGATATAAATATATATCAAGAGTGACAACTACAAATAAGGGGCGAGTGTTTATACACAAGGAGGAGTAGGTATGATGTATAAAATGTTATTGTATCTTATAGACTTCCGAACTCTTTTAAGACACGTACTGTCAAATGTCAAACACTTTCACCGTGTTAAACCGGCTCTTAAATCAAACGCATGTCGTGCCAATAACATATTCAAAACAGCTAGCTAGCTAGTTAGGTAAAAAAAGTCAACAAATTTTAAAAATCTGTATTGTGAACTATATCGTTTGTATTTTAATAATAGTTATGAGAAAATATTATACGATGGCTGATTAGTCTGACAAGGCATGTGAGCAGAATAAATATATAATTACGTATGTTCGATTGTTATATAAGAGCATTATATCTAGTTACATTTTTTAAGATAATTACATTTTTACGAGAGTAATTAATTGGTATCATTTAAAATATGTACAGGTATTTAACATTTTTTATAATTCGCTTGAAAATTTAAAATTTCTTGAAAAACCAACGAGATATGAGAGAACACTGATAATATTCTTAGCTTTAAGTAGATTCACATATTAATATTTAAGTTAAAAAACTACGTTTGAACTCAGAGCCGGTTATARGCGTAGGTGAYGTAGATACAAGCCTACGGCGGCAAAATTTATATTTATATAGAGCCATAGAGGCGGCATATAAGAAAAGTTTTAATAAAACAAGAAGTGGCAATTTTGATCTTTGCCTACATTTAAAAATTTGCTTGCACCTRCCCTGTTTGAACTACTTAACGTTTATTTTGGAATGTTATGYATTAGTAATGTAACAATGGCCAATAAGTGAACACAAATGCTGGTGCGACTTCCTCTTAARAAGTAAAACTCTCGGACTAGAGTAGGTAATAAACTAATAAATTGGTAACTAATAAACTAATAAATCAATCCCCCTTCATTTCATCACTTTATAGCTTATAATATGGTATAAAGTCCGTCTTTATATAGGATTTTAATTATGATTATCTCAAAAAAAAGCTCTGTGGGGAGGATATAACCCCATATCCCCTCTATAATTACGCCACTGGTCTAATATAACAATTTGTTTTATGTATTTATATAAGATACAATATAGCTTATAGGTATAGGTATTGTTGGTGTTGTATTTATGTATGTTTGTATAGAAGTTAATTAAGACATCTCCCATTCCTTATAGTGTATAAAAACCAGGATGTATGTGAACTTTTTCTCACATAATATAAAGTTTAGGGTGTACAAGTATTTTTTTTGATTCAATATGTTGTGGGATGTTTGGGGTGCGTGCTTTTGTAACAGACCCATTTTCGCAATAACCTTTACATCCTTTGATGTTTRTCGAAATCCCAACCATAATCCGATCTGTTGTGCCTTGATCTACATGTTACACCAGTATACTACATGTAACGTCGGACTGGTGCATTACAGTTATATACCCAAATTCACATATTATTATGTGTTGTTGCTTATTATAGAATCGACGATAATGCTTGATAATAATATTTTATATTTACTTGCTGTATTTTTACACGAATAACATCGTATTACGAGTATTTCACGTTTCGTAGTTATTTTACCAAGGTTCTCTTAGGATTTGTCGAATATATGTTATTAGTACCAATAGTACCTACTATCTAGTACCTACCCATGTATAATATGTACATTATAAAATGTTAACACAATAAATTCAAAAATAAATGTCGTAAAAAGGCGTATAAAATTGTCTATTCTTACAACACATATGTGAATAATATTCCTATATTACATGGGCGTTCTCACGGGGGGGAKATATGGGGGATAGGTCCCCCTCAAGGCTCTYGATTTTCTTACATATTAGTGATAYATATTTTGTCTATTTTTGGTAACCCTTACGGCTTATCTTGTAACAATTTCTTTCATCCCCCTCCATTGKAAAAATCCTGAGAACGCCTCTGCCTATATAGTACCTATTATAATCCTTGGCAAATAATTTTCGAGAAATGGGCGATACGTGTCGTCGGGCCCGATGTGCTTAATTAAGACTCGTTTCGCCACTACACGAGTAGGTACATGACACTTCTTAAATAGGGGATGTAAAATGCGTACTCGTGATCGGCGACGCTAAAACGCTTGATGGTAATTGATAAAAATTTGTGGCTGAAATTTCATCACATTGCACACAATTTGCACAATATGTCAAATACTACCCACACATGAAAAACGAAAACTATTTAAATGAGTATCGAACAACGAACTGTAATGACAGATACGGAGAAAMCCGTTATGATAGGTAACCTTTTAATATAAGACTTACAGGCGGAAAATATCGCTGAAAAATTATTGTATAATTTTTCAATATGATTATTTCATTTTGTTTTAATGTTCTTTTACCGTCTATATTATATTCACTGTTCAGTTCGCTGTTTCGTATTGGAAACTGAAGTTCTGGTCCAATTATTCCACCAACATAGGATATTGATAGTTCGATGTAGCTTTTCAGACTTTAAATTCTAAATTAGTAATTACATTTTTAGTTTGTTCTTAGGATAGATAGATACTACAAATGTTAATATTAGCTGCCGTAAATTTTATTAAAATTTTGAACAATGTTTACATTAGTCAATGAATCCTAAAAAATGTAATAGGTAATTAAACTGTTGTAACCACTGATACAATTTTATTATTTTTGCAACGTATTTTTCTAGAAAAAGTTTTATGAAGACGTTGTATCCGTCTTACAAATATAAAACATTGTAAAAACGGGAATAGTGCGCGGGAAAACTTTTCTCCCTCAGTAGRTATTTATAATAGAATTATCAGAATTTCACAACGAATAAGTAAGAACTTTATCTGTGTCATAAGGTCGTTATTTTTATGATACCAAAAATATTATTAAAGTTATCAGCTTAATACATTTAATTATTAAAAATTATTGGTTTTTGCCATCAAAAAAATAACGATGTTACGTCATACCTAGATAAAGTTTTTACCTTTGCAGTGTGCGTTGTGGAATTCTGATAATTCTACTATAAAGACTGAGGGAGAAAAGTTATCCCGCGTAAATACTGTGTTTTCTATATTGTTCAACGTTTGTAAGACGGAGCCAACGCATACGGGTGTGACGTCCTCTTAACGAGTGGTGGGCTCCCACATTGGCCACATTGGTCGAATTACTTCCATCATTATAGATAAGAACCCCTAAGGCCAAAAGATTTGAAGTGTGACCAAAATAATAAATAATAACTAATAATGATTAATAAATGTCACCATTAATATTCAGTATACAATTATAAAAATAATATTTATTATTTAATACTGACTATGGATATCTTCACGTTCAGTTTTCAATTGCGTATTCTATTATACCTACGCGGTATTGCATCTATTTTACACAAAAATACAAGACGTGCAATCTCGATTTGCATATTTAAAGACTATTATAACTGCCACTCACAATACGGTGCTATTATTGCTATATATATATAGGTGTATTTCCGACCCAATGCTACTCTCGAATAATCCGGTTTCGATTATA